TGTCCATCTTATCACCAGGGCTAGGCGTTTTCTCTTTCTCTAGTTTGTCTACAGTCGGTTTTTCAACCTTGTCCAGCTTATCAACAGGGCTAGGCGTTTTCTCTTTCTCAAGTTTGTCTACAGTCGGTTTTTCGTCGACTACAGTCGGAACTGGTATTTCAGGCTTGTCCGTCTTATCATCGGGGCTTGGCGTTTGCTCTTTCTTAAGTTTGTCAACAATCGGTTTTTCAGCCTTGTCCATCGTATCAACAGGCCTTGGCATTTTGTCTTTCTCAAGTTTGTCAACACTCGGTTTTTCGTCGACTACAGTTGGAACTGGTATTTCAGCCTTGTCCATCTTATCAACAGGGCTAGGCGTTTTCTCTTCATCAAGTTTGTCAACAGTTGATTTATCATCGACTGCAGTCAGAATTGGTATTTCAGCCTTGTCCATCTTATCACCAGGGCTAGGCGTTTTCTCTTTCTCTAGTTTGTCTACAGTCGGTTTTTCAACCTTGTCCAGCTTATCAACAGGGCTAGGCGTTTTCTCTTTCTCAAGTTTGTCTACAGTCGGTATTTCAGCCTTGTCCATCTTATCATCAGGGCTTGGCGTTTTCTCTTTCTCAAGTTTGTCAACACTCGGTTTTTCGTCGACTACAGTTGCAACTGGTATTTCAGCCTTGTCCATCTTATCAACAGGGCTTGGTGCTTTCTCTTTCTCAAGTTTGTCAACAGTTGGTTTTTCATCGACTGCAGTAAGAATTGGTAATTCAGCCTTATCCATCTCATCATCAGGGCTAGGCGTTTTCTCTTTCTCAAGTTTGTCAACAGTTGGTTTTTCATCGACTGCAGTCACAATTAGTTTTTCCACCTTGTCCAACTTACCATCAGGGCTTGGCGTTTTCTCTTTCTCAAGTTTGTCAACAGGTGGTTTTTCATCGTCTGCAGTCAGAATCGGTATTTTAGCCTTATCCACCTTATCATCAGGGCTAGGCGTTTTCTCTTTCTCAAGTTTGTCAATAATCGGTATTTCAGCCTTGTCCATCTTATCAACAGGGCTAGGCGTTTTCTCTATCTCAAGTTTGTCAACAGGTGGTTTTTCAACGACTGCAGTCAGAATTGGAATTTCAGCCTTATACATCTTATCAACAGGGCGTAGCGTTTTGTCTTTCTCAAGTTTGTCGTCAGTTGGTTTTTCATCGACTGCAGTAAGAACTGGTTTTTCATCCTTGTCGATCTTATCATCAGGGCTTGGTGCTTTCTCTTTCTCAAGTTTGTCAACAGTTGGTTTTTCATCGACTGCAGTTAGAATTGGTATTTCAGCCTTATCCATCTTATCATCAGGGCTAGGCGTTTTCTCTTTCTCAAGTTTGTCAACAGTTGGTTTTTCATCGAATGCAGTAAGAACTGGTTTTTCATCCTTGTCCATCTTTTCAACAGGGCTTGGCGTTTTCTCTTTCTCAAATTTGTCAACAGGTGGTTTTTCATCGACTGCAGTCAGAATTGGTATTTCAGCCTTGTCCATTTTATCATCAGGGCTTGGCGTTTTCTCTTTCTCAAGTTTGTCAACAATCGGTATTTCAACCTTGTCCATCTTATCAACAGGGCTAGGCGTTTTCTCTTTCTCAAGTTTGTCAACAGTTGGTTTTTCATCGACTGCAGTCACAATTAGTTTTTCCACCTTGTCCATCTTACCATCAGGGCTTGGCGTTTTCTCTTTCTCAAGTTTGTCAACAGGTGGTTTTTCATCGACTGCAGTCACAATTGGTATTTCAGCCTTGTCCATCTTATCATCAGGGCTTGGCGTTTTCTCTTTCTCAAGTTTGTCAACAGTTGGTATTTCATCAACTGCAGTCTGAATCGGTTTTTCCACCTTGTCCATTTTATCAACAGGGCTCGGCGTTTTATCTTTTTCAAGTTTGTCAACAGCCGGTTTTTCGTCGACTACAGTTGCAACTGGTATTTCAGCCTTGTCCATCTTATCAACAGGGCTTGGCGTTTTATCTTTTTCAAGTTTGTCAACAGTTGGTTTTTCATCGACTGCAGTAACAACTGGTTTTTCATCCTTGTCCATCTTATCAACTGGGCTTGGCGTTTTGTCTTCCTCAAGTTTGTCAACAGTTCGTATTTCATCAACTGCAGTTGGAACTGGTATTTCAGCCTTGTCCATTTTATCAACAGGACTTGGCGTTTTATCTTTCTCAAGTTTGTCAACAGTTCGTATTTCATCAACTGCAGTTGGAACTGGTTTTTCCACCTTGTCCATTTTATCAACAGGGCTTGGCGTTTTCTCTTTCTCAAGTTTGTCAACAGTTGGTTTTTCATCGACTGCAGTAACAACTGGTTTTTCATCCTTGTCCATCTTATCAACTGGGCTTGGCGTTTTGTCTTTCTCAAGTTTGTCAACAGTTGGTTTTTCATCGAATGCAGTAAGAACTGGTTCTTCATCCTTGTCCATCTTTTCAACAGGGCTTGGCGTTTTCTCTTTCTCAAGTTTGTCAACAGGTGGTTTTTCATCGACTGCAGTCAGAATTGGTATTTCAGCCTTGTCCATTTTATCATCAGGGCTTGGCGTTTTCTCTTTCTCAAGTTTGTCAACAGTTGGTTTTTCATCGACTGCAGTTTGAACTGGTTTTTCATCCTTGTCCATCTTATCATCAGAGCTAGGCGTTTTCTCTTTCTCTAGTTTGTCAACAGGTGGTTTTTCAACGAATGCAGTTACAACTTGTTTTTCCACCTTGTCCATCTTATCATCAGGGCTTGGCGTTTTCTCTTTCTCAAGTTTGTCAACAGCCGGTTTTTCGTCGACTGCAGTCAGAATTGGTATTTCAGCCTTATCCATCTTATCATCAGGGCTAGGCGTTTTCTCTTTCTCAAGTTTGTCAACAGCTGATTTTTCATCGACTGCAGTAAGAACTGGTTTTTCATCCTCGTCCATCTTATCAACAGGGCTAGGCGTTTTCTCTTTCTCAAGTTTGTCAACAGTTGGTTTTTCATCGACTGCAGTCACAACTAATTTTTCCACCTTGTCCATCTTATCATCAGGGCTTGGCGTTTTCTCTTTCTCAAGTTTGTCAACAGGTGGTTTTTGATCGACTGTAGTCAGAATTGGTATTTCAGCCTTGTCCATCTTATCATCAGGGCTAGGCGTTTTGTCTTTCTCAAGTTTGTCAACAATTGGTTTTTCATCAAATACTGTTGGAACTGGTATTTCAGCCTTGTCCAGTACATCAAC